ATTTAATGCACTTGTGTGTTCCTCTGTTGTTTAGTAATGCAGGTAGATCTGTATGTTAAAACTGTTGTGTGTGTTTACTTGTAGTTCCACCGAACTTATCGAATTTACAAACTTATCGAACTTACGAATCGTCACTGTAGAGTAATCTAACGAATTTATAAATCCAAGTGAATTTATCAATCTATCGAAATATACAGAATGAATTTATCGAATCTATTGAACCTATCGAGATAAGCTATCGAATCAAACCACTGTAATATGAAAGAAATAAGCTACTGTATGATAAATGAAACAAGCCATTGTAAGCAGTGTTATATGAAGAAGATTGAAGTTATTAAAGAAGTTAACTAAAGTATTCGGTGTGCTCTTTAAACCTACTGCATCCATAGAGCGGCATTGGAGGAATTACAGACTAAAGTCAGTCTAATCAAACAAAGAATCAGCAATTGCATAATTTTTCTAATGCCACAGCGCACTAGGCACCAAAGGGTGCTGCGCCTGCCACAATTCTACCCCAAGTGCTGTGTACCAAATTATCATTAGACTCAGTGCCGGGATATGGTTATCCAGTGGAAGGGCAAAGATGCCAAAATGCGCACCCCCCTTTCATTCATGATGTGCAAGCTTAGTGGATCCTACACCCATCAGTTACCAGTCAAAATCACTGTGCAGCTCCTGATCTGTCAGTCAGGTGTTGCATCAACCTGGAAGTGCACAGGTTTGCCAGCGCAGTCCCACCACAAGGCACAAGGCAGGAAGGAGGAGGAGAGAGAACACAGCCTGCACCAACTCCCAGATCTCTCCTGGCCACTCCCAGCACTAGGCTGACAGGAGTAGCGATGCCACTGTCACTATTCCCAACAGCCTTGCAACAGAAGGAAGGCGCCCCCATCCCTACAGTAAGCCATTGCGCCCACGGCAGCCGCTCCTCCCGCCCACCTCTTGTCCTAGCCCTGATTGGATGGCTCGGCACTTAGATACAGTGTACTGAGTCTTTTTGAGTGGCTCAGTACCGTGTGATCACAGTGATAGCCAATCAGAGCAATCACATGCTACTGTTTACTTATGACATCTCTCCCTTTCTTCTTACAACAGAGTAGGAGAGGAATTATAGTAATTTATGAATGGTGAATGAAGGGATGGATCTGCAGCGGCATTAGCGGCAGCAGCTGCTGATCCATTCATTCAATTTCACAGACACTCTGATTTTTTTTTTTTTTTAACCCTTTCATGCCCCCATCTGTCCTATACATCTGCAATTTGTGTCTGTGGGTAACCTGTATAATAATAATCCATATCCTCCCTTACAATTTGCACATTAACTTCTTTACCCGTATCCTGTACTTGACCTATACATTAACCCTTCAACTCCTCCTCCCTCAATGTATGACCTGTAGAGTAATTTATCTGGTGCAGCTCCATTCAAACGCAAAAGGAAATAAGCTCAGAATCACACATAGCAGAGGGTATTTGTAAACTGACTGATGCACTCAGTAAAGTTCATATGCGAGTAATTTTTTTATATATTGCTTTTAATAAAAATTAGATTTTATGCTATGTACAATTTTGCTTTTCTTTCCATTTGAGTTTGAATGGAAAGCATCCTGGAGTTTGTTTTCACCTTATGTGGGTATGAACCCTGTGAATCTGATGTGTATTAGTACAGGTCATTTTGAGAAGATAACTGGTTTTCATAAGGGAGTGACATTACAGCGAGAGTGTTTTATTTTGGTCAAAGTTATGATCTGGAGAAAAAGTAAGAGTGGACACTGTGTGGATTTTGATGTATAAGTCACTGCTTTGGAGGATCACATGTGAATTATATTGGGCACTGTATGGACACATTTATTTAAAGACATGTTTGCACTGGTGTTATTATTTGTACATTTTAAAATAATTTTGTTGAATATTAAATTTTCATATGTAGCGCCGCTCTAGTTAGCCAGGGGGAGCTAGTTAGGTTTTTATAGTTAGAGGCTAGATAGCAGCCTGGGATGAGTCAGCCTAGGATGAGTCAGCCAGGTAACTTTAGGTCAGGGCTGAGGGCTTTGCAGGTCAGTTCCCTGATACATCCCCTGCTCTAGAAGCTTGAGACGTTTCTAAGAGGCAGTGGGTTGGGGTGGGAAGGGGCTGATCTGCATACTCAGGGTACTCTGTTCAATCCTCAAGCAGGAGGCTTGACATGGGGTCAGGACAGCCTTTAAATTTGGGAGAGCCTGATCAGGAAGTGGTCAGTGTCAGGTGGAAGATGGTGTGAGAAGGCTGGAGTGTGGAGCCTGGGAGGGGGCCCAGGGAGAGGCCTATCTGCAGGCAGGAGCTGGGAAGAAGGATGTCTCGGACTACAGGGGGACCTAAAAACTCAGTGACTCCTAAGTGGGTAGCGCTGCATGTGGGGACAATGGCCGTGCAGGTTTTTATAGGGATATCCAGGATTTACAAGCCACCATATGTAGCACTACCCCCCAAGGAGTTGGTGAGTTTTGGGGTCCCCCTGTAGTCCTGCACAGCCAGGCAACATACATTTTCTTCCACACTTGCAACCTGGAGATAGTAAACAGTCCTTGAGCTTGTTTTTTTGTGTAGTTTTATTGAGGGGTATTGAACTTGGATGGGGTTGAGAGGTGTATGGGATGCCCAAAGAACTGTAGAAACTTCAGGATAAACTCCTTAGCAACTATGTATAGATGGAGATAAAGAGAATGAAAGCCTCTCAGCTCTTGTTTGCAGGTAGGCCCCTCCCAGGCTCCACACTCCAGCCTTCTCACACCATCTTCCATCCGACACTGACTACTTCTTGATCAGGCTCTCCCATATTTAACAACTGTCTGGACTCCATGCCAAGCCTCCTGCTTGGGGATTGGACAGAGTCCCCTGATCATGCAGATCAGCCCCTCCTCACCCCCACCCACTGCCTTATAGAAACTTATCAAGCTTCTAGAGCAGGGGGAGGTATCGGGGAACTGACCTGCAGAGCCCTCAGCTCTGACCTAGTTACCTGGCTGACTCATTCCAGACTGACTTATACGAGGCTGCTATCCATCCTCTAACTAAAACAAATGTAGCTAGCTCCCCCTGCCTAACTAGAGGGGCGATACATATGTAATAGCACTACGTGGAAATAAGAAAAAGGTTTTTAAATTTTTTTCACAGTATTCTTTATTATTATAGGGCAGGAGGCTTAGTGCAGTTTGTTTTTTGGGGGGTATTTGATAGCAGGTAGGAGCACCAAAGCAAAGTGTCACAGATCTTTACTACAGCCTGCTCCAATGTAACCCCATTCACTTAAGTTTGCATACCACACCATACCACAAACGTTTGCCTGAATGAACTTCCCACTGACCTTTAAATCATGTGTCCTAGCACTGCAGGGGACTTTTACCTGCTCTCAGTTCCTAATAGTTGCCTGCTCAGGAGAGCCAGAGGGATGCAACTTGGCTATTGCAAAAACCCATCTTCAGCTTCAGGAGCTCTGGTGAAGAAAAGGTGGCTCATTAGACTCTGCACCTCTGCTCTTCTAAGGGCTTTCACCTTTGCTGTATGTGTTGGCACAGTGGGCCTGCCCACCAATGCCAGCATGTACCTTGCCTCTTTGAGTCTCCACGCAATTCCTGGACAGTCAGTCTGTCCTTTTGTGGGAACAAACTCCAGTCCATCACATTAAATACCACAGAAACAAAGCTCTGTCTAAAAATTGTATAAAATTCATATAATTAGAGAGTTGCACAAGTAATTTCTTAATTGTGAATCAAAGTATCACATCGCTGAAAACTAAAAAAAGTTCTGGTAATGAAGGGATATTACAGGCCAGAACTCAAGTGGTTAGGACATCCCACAAACCTATAATTTAAAGAACTAGGGGATTTTCATTGTTGCCCTCAAAGCCAAATGAAAAGGAACCTTTCCAAGATGTATTTCGTAAGAGGAGTGGAAGCGTTTGCTTACTGTTTTAGGGTATGGACAGCTAAGGAAACCTAGCAAGGGACAGACTGCACAGAAGTCATAAAAGGGTTATAGAAAGTAAAATATTGATACAACTAAGTGGTAATATTACATTTGTTTTACATAGTTACATAGGTTGAAAAAAAAACACAAGTTCCTCTATTTCAACCAACAGAAAAAAAAAGAGAAACCTCCATATACTAAATCCTATGCCCAGAGCTGATCCAGGGGAAGGCAAAAAAATAATAAAGCATAAACTAATTTGCACCAGCAGGGGAAAAAATCCTACCTAATCCCCCAGGAGTCAATGGATGTTCCCTGGATCAACTATCCCTGGTGTTATTACCTATAAATGTAAATATCTAGTTATATTGTGTGCTTTTATGAATGCATATATCTGTTTTAACCACTTCTCATCCCCCTAGGGACCAGAGCAAGTTTTACATTTCTGCAATGTTTATTCGGCAAACTTTGTCATTACTAAAGATAACAAGGTAATACACATAGTGTTTTCATAAGGACAAACTAGGCTCGCTTTTTATGATCCTGTCTTGCAACAATGATTTTTGTTTTCGCAATCCTTAAACGATAAAACTCAACAAAACTAAACCAAGTGCACTTTTCCCTTACTTTTGCAGTATTAGTTTAAAAATAATTCATGTTACTGCACATAAAATGTGTGCATTTTATTCTGTAATTTGTCCTGTTTAAAATGGCACTAAATTTTTTTTACAAAACATTGCAAAGGTTTTTACAATGAAATATAATGCTTTTTTTTCAACGTTGCACTTTTTTAAATGGGAAATGCATAAATATATGTTACAAATATATACAAATGTGTAAAAATATTAACAAACAAAGCAATAGCAAAAAAATGTTGAAATATTAACCACTTCCTGACCACCCTATTGCAGAAATACTGCTACAGGGCGGTACGGGTATGCAAAATCAAGTATATATATGTGATTTTGCCTTTTACGGGTAGGGGGCCCTACCCACGGCGCCATTCGCGTTCACAGCTGTCAATCACCGGGCCACTGCCGGTGATTAATCGCAGGCACCTGGTGATTTCTGAGGATCTCAGATGGGGAAGAGAACTGTTTTGTTTACTAACAATTCTCCCTGTCAGCTCAGGCACAGCACAGCCATCCAAAGCAGTGTGATTACAGTGAAGCACACTGACACCGTCCCCTAGTAAAACACTCCCAGCACACAGTTAACCCTTTAATCACCACTCATGTTAACCTCTCCTGCCCAGTGCCATTAGTACAGTGTCAGTGCTTTTTTTTAAGCACTGATCACTGTATTGGTGTCACTGGGGATGTCAATGGCACCAAGTCAGTTCCTCCAGTGTCAGAAGGCCCACGCAGTCCCGCAGTACTGCTATACGTCGCTGATTTGGGTGTAGCTTTGCATGACTGCGCAATTGTCAGTAATACAGCCGTAATTAAAAAATTGGCCTGGTCAGGAAGGGGGGTAAATCATCAGGAGGGCAAGTGGTTAATAGTTAATAAAATAGAAATAAATAAAAAATCAGCAGGAAAATATTAATTGAAGAGAGAAGGAGACTAAGGAGTTAATTAGGGCCAATCAGTCTACACTAAGGATTAATAAGGGGTTAAACAGAGGGAAAAAAACATCTTGTTTTGCTTGTCAAGTTGCTTTAAAGGATAGGTTCACCTATTGAACAAAAATAATAAATGTACATTTTTTGCAGGTTTTTTTAGTCCAAAAGGAGCCTGGAAAGCATTGCACCAGTGATCAGTAGATTGCTGATGCCATGCAGGTCTCCTACAGACCTGCTTGCTGTACGGGATGTACGGTGAACCATATATTCTGACAGGAAGCTTCAATGAACTACCACAGCGCTCCACAGGGCCGTGGTAGTTCATTGAAAACTACAAGCTGACAGTCGCTAAGGCTGTCGGGACTATCAGTTCGTTCATTCACGGCAGTTCGTGAATGAATGACGTGGCCATGTGGGCGAAGCCCCGCACAGCCGTGCGGTTTTCAAATATGACAGATAGTACAGGAAAACTTCTCCCCGTATTATCTGTCAGAGGGAGGGGGGTGGTTGCTGCTGCTGCAGCTATGGCAGTGTTTCTCAATTCCAGTCCTCATGGACCCCCAACAGGTCATGTTTTCAGGATTTCCATTATTTTGCACAGGTGATTTGATCAGTTTCACTGCCTTAGTAATTACCACAGCTGTTTCATCTGAGGGAAATCCTGAAAACATGACCTGTTGGGGGTCCATGAGGACTGGAGTTGAGAAACACTGAGCTATGGGAACATGTTGCTACATACTCAGACCTGATCTTTTTCTATTAATAGTTTTGAAATATTTTTGGAGGGTTATCCTACTCTCTTTTGCAATCTCTCATTCATGTTGAGTTTTTGTGGCCTTGATTTTCTTTTTACTAATTCTGTTATATTCTTTGCAACTTTTAAATGTTGACAGTGTTCAAGGCCATTCTTAATGTTGATTAGACCCTGGGGAAACATTTTTATGGACCTCCCCGCCATGCAATTTTGCTCTCCACCTCAACATCTCAAAAACCAAAACACACACACACACATAGACTTATTAAAAAAAAACTTTAAATAGTGTAAACATAAAGAACTGGTCCACACCTACTGATTGGTCCAAGCACACTCATTGGTTGCTAGAGGTTACTGCACATCATTACCACTCACTGATTGGTTGCTAGAGGTTACTGCACATCGTTACCACTCACTGATTTGTTGCTAGCAGTTATTGCACATGCTTACCACTCACTGGTTATTAGCCGTTACTGCACAGTAGAGTTCAGGGAGTTTGCAGTACTTTCTTTATGCAGTGATCTGTAAAAAGTTGCAAGTGTCAGGTGTTTGTGCTCCTGGCAGTATATGGGGAGAAGGACCTACCTGGCCAGTCAGGCTCACCATCCGCTCTCAGAGGTCCAGGATACTCAGTGCTTCCACTCCAAAGTCAGATCCTACTGCAGCTGCTTACTCCCATGCATACATGCTGCATGGGATGGGGTCAGTGTTTCAGTGGAGCTCCTGCCCCGAACCTCTCCCTGTTGGCAGCCTCCCATGTACCAGTGCGGTCGGCAGTGCTATCATGGGACCCCAGTTTGTGGGCAGCATGGGCTCAAGGGGCAACTGCTTTGAGCCCCACAACAATGACTGGGCCCAGGGCAGCTGCCCCTTTTGCCCCATGTTAAATACGGCCCTGACAGTGTTCCATATTTTTAGATTTTTAAAATGCGCTTTTCCTATTATTTATTATAATCTATAGCTTTTTAAAGAGAAACTAAACTATCATCTCAATCAACATTAACTATTTTTAAGCCTTATGCTACTAGTCTTAGTAAATAAATAGAAAGGTAGATTATATTTACTTGTTTTAAAACTTTTATTTTACATTTCTTCAGTTACTTCCTTATTTCTTGCCTAGGCCAAAATGATGTCATACATCCCATGAATCTACATGGTCATTTTCTTTCATCTTGAGGAGAGGTTTTCTTGGCTCAGCACAGCCTGGATTCCAGGAAGTAAATGCTACTTGAATTAACTGCCCTTACAGAGGATGGGTACAGCTAAAATGCTAGGGGGTCTTTATAAAAGTAATTTCTCAACAAAATAAAGCATGGAAACTGATGGAAGGGTGATTTTGCTCTGAATATTAAAGATTAATAGCATTTTTAGTTTGTGGTTCCCAGGTATAGTTAAGTTCTGCTTAAATTTGGACGTAAGCCACATAGGTTTTATTTTTACCCTTTTTAAAAATGTTACATCCAGGGAAATATACTGTATTTTGCTTACAGTTGACTTGAAGCATTCCCGTTTCTTTTTTTTTTCTTTATTGATAATAGTCCCTCCCTGTTTAAAACTTGGACAGCAGCCCTCAGCCTTAGAAAAGCTCTCTTAAAATTAGGTGTTTTTATCTTTCTACTAGATTATTGTTTTTTTATAGCTAACATTAAATGAAATCATGTTATGGTTTTAAAAAGTGTGATTTTTTTTCTACCTCTTTCATACCCTTCCACGCCCAGTATGATTTTTGGCTTCAAAAAGGACTCCTACAACCAGTTCATTAGGGAGCATGCATGCATTCATCTATTTGCCCCATGGTAGCAGGAAGTTATGTGGACTGGCATACACGTGGCAGGGGCCACACATGTTGGGTAGGTAGCATCATGGGATTGGGGGAGGAGGGTAACATTTTTAATGTTAAATAAAATGGACTGAACCTGTATGAAAACACAGGCTGAATGCTCTCAAAAGGAAATAGTTTACATTTTGGCATCCCAGTCTTACAAATGGTTTTTTAAAAAGTGTCCAGCAAATGAGCATAAATGTAACATTCACTCTTTAATACATATTCTATATTTCCTCATAAATTGAAGAACAGATGTAGACGTTCAGTTGATGTTTTTTTCAGCCAGTGATTGTGTTGGCAGATGTGTGACCAAGCGAATGTGCCTGTGAATGTGTTGCAAATGTACTAGCAAATCTATAATAAACCTAACCCATAGGTATGGAAGTAAAATGATTCAATCAATTCATAGATCAACAGCAAATGATTTCATACTGTAGGCTCTCAGCTTAGCTCCAAAGTTCCCTTTCACATTCACACATCCACTTACAGTGTAGGATTTATAATATAGTGTCCATAGCAAAGGAAGTGAAAATCTACTCAGCACTTTCCATCCTCTATTAACCCTTCCTCACGTCTCTTGAATAATCCAGATATGCTCCTTTGACCACAGTGAATAATAAAAAAGAGCAGTTAGGTACAAATTACAAATTAAAATGGTACTGGTTCCTGAAGCACATACAATTTCTAAGGTAGTAATTTATTTTAATTCCGGTTCAATGGATTTTCACAACCTGAAAGTGTCTACATATAAGACAATTATCAGAAAAGATTTAAAAAAAACTCGCTAAAACTGATATAACATGTATAATTGCCACACACTTTTTGAAATTTAATTGTTATTTAAAATTACTTTTTCTGTTTAATCTTCAAAAGCTGGTTAAAAAAAAAGAAGAATCTTCTTCTTTCTTGTACCCATGTCATTAATGGAGGCGTTGTATATACTAGCTGCGCACAGAACATCCTCAGAATTGTAGTTTCTTGCTTGTATGATGACTCCTATGTAAAGGAGATGAAGAGATTTCGACTTGTAATCCATATCAAGAGCACAGTCTAGTGTGGCAACCGTGGCTTCCTGCTTAGAAACAGTGGAGGAGTGACATAGCCACCCTAAGACAGGAAGCATGTTATGTGCAGGATTACCATGTGAAAGTAAAGCAAAAGAAGCTTGAAAAAAGAAAACAAATGCAGCCACCACACCAAGGACTAGTAACCTGAAATATTGTATATGACATTTTTTAATTTGGATTTAGATACACTTTAAAGTAGAACCCCAGGCATTTAGGAAAATATACGGTGGGAATACATATTTGTTTACTATGCTACCTGTCAAGGAATTTGTAATGCTGGCCATCCATTTGAGGATCTAGAAGCTGAACTTTTTTAATGGAGACAGACTAAAAAAAAAAATATTGTTTTTTGGCCATCACTGTGTATTTACACGATCTGCTAAAAGTATTGGGACACACCTTTAAATCATTGGATTCAGGTGTTCCAATCACCTCCATGGCCACAGGCATAAAAACAAATCAAGCACCTTGGCATGCAGACTGCTTCTACAAACATTTGTGAAAGAATGGGTCACTCTCGGGAGCTCAGTGAATTCAAGCGTGGTACCGTGATAAGTTGCCAGCTGTGCAGTAAGTCCATCCATGAAATTTCCTTGCTACAAAAAATTCCACAGCCAACTGTAGTGGTACTATAACAAAGTGGAAGCAACTGGGAATAACAGCAACACAGCCACAAAGTGGTAAGGCATCTAAAATGACAGAGAAAGGTCAGTGCATGCTGAAGCGCACAGTGCGCAGAAGTCGCCAACTGTCTGCAGAGTCAATAGCTAAAGACCTCCAAACCTCATGTGGCCTTCAGATTAGCACAACAACATTGCGTAAAGAGCTTCATGGAATGGGTTTCCATGGCCGAGCAGCTGCATCTAAGCCTTACATCACCACGTGCAATGCAAAGGGTCAGA